CGATCGTCCTTTTAAGTGTGGTCTGTGATGCTTCGGGATTCGCCATTGGTTGTGTACTGCTGCAAGCAGACGCCGAGGTGCGAGATCGGATGATCGCGCTCGAATCTCGCCAGCTTAAGGCTGCGGAGAATAATTACTCAGTCCACGACAAGGAATTACTTGCAATGATGTATGCACTAGTCAAGTTCAGGTTGCACCTGCTTGGCTCAAAGCCGTTTGTGATCTACACAGATCATGCGTTCTTACGCACTGCGACTCAGTCGCCTCACTTCTCGCAGAGGATGGCAGTTGTGGCTCTCATTCTTTGCAGAATATAACTTCGAGGTGAAGTATAAGCCAGGAAAGCAGAATGCTTTAACTTATGCTTTATCATGCGGACCGAACTACGAGCTTGCTCATGTCACGGAGGTGACGTCGTCAGTGTCAAATTTTCGCGCCGCATTTGAGGGTGACAGTATGTGTGTAGCGCTGCTACAGGCTCTTAGGGGCAAGCAGATTGGAAACTCGGACGCGAAATTGCCAGTGCGTTTGCGCGCACGGTTCCTAACGATGAGGAATTGGAAAACCGTATCCTCTATGAGGCTCAAAACACCCCACTCACCCAGTGGTCATCTCGGTCGTGAGAAAACGTACAGCTCGGTGTGTTGCCACTATTGATGGCCCAAGCTAAACAAATGGACGAGCACATATGTGCACACGTGTGAGACATGTCAGAGGATGAAACTTTTCCAAATGCGGCGGCGCCGCTGGCCAGTTTACCAGTAGTCACCGGGAGTTGAAAGTCCATGAGTATGAACTTTGTGTATGGCCAGCCGAAGTACTCGGCAGGTAACACGAGTGTAGTGGTCTTTGTGGACCATTTGAGCAAGATAGCCCATCTTGCGGTAGTGCCGGACACCATCGACGGTTGGGCAAAGCGACGCCGTTTGTTGATCGTGTCTTTTGACAACATAGACTCCCGGTGTCAATTGTCTCTGATAGGCACCCGCGCTTTACTGGGAAGATTTGGTGTACAATCTTCCGGGTGCTGGGTACCAAGTTGACTATGTCAGCAGCGAACTATCCGCAGACCGATGGTCAGACTGAGCGCGTGCATCGTGTCGCTGAAGACGTTCTTGGCAGAGTCTGTGCTGAGACGCCGAAGAGCTGGAGCGCATTGTTGCCACCCGTAGAGTTTTCTCTGAACAATGCAGTGCGTACATCTACCGGCTATACACCGTTCTACGTGAACGGGCTTGTTATCCTCGCGTACCGCTGACGCCGCCATTCCATGGCTCAGGGCTTGGTCGGAGAGGAATAGCTGAATGGTTAGCTGATGTCAGCCCCCTCACTTTTCGTAAAGAAGTCGATGAATTCCTGCCTACCAGACTGAGTGTCATAGAACACGATCGCGATGTGATGGCTGGAAGCCAACACATGCAGAAAGAATATGCAGATGGAAGAAGCAAAAGAAATGTGGAAAACCTTGAGGTCGGAGACCTGGTTTTATTTTAAATGGTAAAAAACTTTCCCACATATGCAGTCACTGCTGTCTTTAAGAAAAAGCTCCGTCCACAGTTTATTGGATTTTTTAAGATCGTGGCCAAGCGAGGCTTTGTGTATACGCTGAACCTTCCGAGAAAGATGAGCACCCACCTGGTGTTTAATGTGGGCTTGATTAAGCCGTACCGGAATTCGGCGCCAGTGAACACGGTAATGTTGGCACCGGGGCAGCGCAAGGCGCTCCACCGTCGTATTCATCTGCTTGACGGCTAGGGGCCGCTACGACAGTGCGCGATAATCCTCAACGTGAGGCAGTCGGTGCACAAAGTGCTCCAGGCTCTCGAGGTCTTCCGCACAGCGGTAGGCGACCAAGGAAAGATGCTCGTCAGAGTGCCGATGTTGACAAACTTTGTCCTCCAACGCTCGAAGAGCATCGCGGGTCACCGGATGGCGATCGACCAAGTCGTCATCACCCGCCGCCGACTTTACTTGATGAGAATGGTGGCGTCCACTACCGCGTGGATCGCCTTGGGGTCGACGTCGTCGACATGGTCTAACCCAATATCTTGTGAAGTGGCGGGGATACCCAAATTCCGAGAGCTCGTGGGAGGTTGATATGAGATTTCGGCAAGACTGCCCAGACGTCGTGGACACTTATAATTAAAACGGTCGTGACGCTTCGCGTCATCGTACGCACCGCTTTTCGGCAGTAGCCCGAGAAGCCCAAGGGCCATGAGCTGAGCTCAAGCTATGGCCTTGGGCTGCTGTGGTATCAGACTCACCCGTGTGAGAGACCACAGAGCTCGCGGGGGCTTGATCGATGATTCCACGTGTCGCAGGGCGACAATTTGCAGGAAGCCGGTGCTACCCCTTGTGTTTGGCAGGCGCTCAGCGCGCACGTCCACTTCCTTGTGGCTTCACTGTAATGTTGACAGCGATAAATAATTTTGGGGCCGCTGCACCCATCGCTCAAGATCTCATCATCATCTGCATCGGTTTCGCCAGGGGCGAGCACCACAGGAATAGTCCGCGTGACGGGTACAGGACCGTTTCTTCTTTGGATTTTCTTGTGGTACCAAGAAGAGAGCTCGGAGAGCTGTCCACTGGTCAGGCTCAGCTTGTGTAGTGGCTGGGGGTCCGACTACGTAGACGCCTAACGATCGAGTGATCGCGTCTTTCGCTTCAGTAACTAGATATCGCTGAGCGGAAGGTCTTTTCCACACGAGGGTCTAGGACCGAACGTGTATAAGAGCGCATGAAAGCCGCCCTGTGGGCAGCCTAAACTGCTGCTTCTGTGCTTCGTCGAGGTGATCGGTAACAGTACCACTTTCTCCGAAAGTCGAGAAGTCGTTAAACGGACACGGTGTCCGCAAGGTTTGAGCTAAGCTCACGTCGATGGCATCCGTCGCCCGAGGCGGACGCGATGTGTGATACTCGGTTGCTGAGGGCTTGGTGTAACGGGGTTACATGAGAGTGACCCGTCACTCTCCCAAGGGAGCTGTGGTGTGG